CTTCTCTCCCTCTCTCCCTTTCTCCCTCTCTCCCTCTCTCCCTCTCTCCCTCTCTCCCGCCTCTCTCGCTGTGTATCACACACATACACACCAGGTGTCCCCGGTGCGGTGGCCCGGCATGGAGGTCATGGGGGGCGATTTCAGCCGCCTCGCCTCGTATGCACGAGTTGTACTCGGAGGGTGGAGGGGGGGCTACAGAGTTGCGCCGCCTGCGCGAGTCACACGGAGGAGGACTAGACAATGCTTCGGGCCGCTTCACTCTGCTCAGCTCTACTGTTCTTGCTGCTGCTGCTGCTCCTGCTGCTCGGCTCGTCAGTCGGGAATCAAAGCGATCCAGCCGTGCAGCCAGCCAGCGCTCCTTTTGTTTTCGGGTTGCAGGAGAGGAGAGGCTTGTCGTAGCAGTTAACCCTCCTCCCCTGCCCCCCGCGTGCCGCCCCTCCCAATAGCTCCCCTGCTGGCTGCTGCTGCTGCCCGCTACTTATAGCGCCCACCAACCCATGCTGTTCTGACCATGATCTGCCAAACTAAATGGTGTTTGTCAGATTCGAAAAAAAATAAATACTGTAAGTTATGGTGACGAGAGGCGCGGGATGGGGTTAAGGCTGCGTGTCCTGCTTTTACATCGACACGGGGTGGAGCCGGCGGCCATCGCACGCAATCTTCGCACGCTCCGCGCCGTCAGTTCCGTGTGGCTATACCGATCTGATTCGAAAAAGCGATCGAAGCGAAATTCAGAAATGATTCCTAAGTTTAGGCCGAGGTTTATGCACAACTTTGGAAATAATTTAAACTTAATTTGCACTCAGAAGACTGTTTAGTCTAGAGAACCAAATTCTAAATCGATGAAATTGTAGCTCTGGAGACCAAAATTTATTCGTGACGATGAAATAATTTTGTCTAGCTGTCTTAATTTCATTGGTGCGACCATATTTAGTTAAAAATGGGGTTACTAAATTTAAGTCGGTTTTAGGAACTGAATTTTGTTTCCTACAACTCTAATTTAGTTGTATCAACTCAATGGTTCTCTGGGTGTGGCCTGTTCCTCGTCACATTCTGTTCATCGCTCGTTCGCAGTGATAGAGATTTACACGCCGGCGAGGCGGGAGGGGAAATATGATTTTAATAGTTCTGACGCGGGCGTGCGAGCCCCCGTCGGCTCCTGGCGGTGTATACATGCTGCACGCTCGCCAGGCCGCCCTCGCGCTTGCCGGAGGGGAGGCAGGATTTCTTGTCCCCCTCGCCGCCGTCCCGAGGAGGAGATCGCAACGCAGATCTACTTAATGCAAGTGGCGCACGCGTACGTCGTATTTTTGATGAAGCGGCCCGGCTGGTGGCGCCGATATTGGGGAGGGTGGGTGGTATGGGGGTGATGTCAAGGACGAAATGCACAGCACAGCACAGCAGGCCTATGCGGGGACCCGCGGCGGGGGTCAAGCGAAGTGCGAGAGGGCAATAACTCCGAACAATTTAAGTGTATACATGATCTAGTTCAAGAGTTGCTCAAACTGTTTCGTTCAAGACATGATTCCCGAAATCAATGATTTCCGTCAATTCCTGCGATTCCGCATGATTCACGGTAATTCGTTGTGATTCCCGACGAATCCCATAGTTTTGCTCCGCACAGTCCAACCTCGTATCTTTTAGCTGCTCTGCTACATTTTTTGCGGTGGTATATGGATGAGGCAGGAACTGCTTTGCAGGTCGTCGAGTTTGTTCTCGTGACCCTGCTGCCCCGCGCTTGGTCCGCTTGGTCCGTCCGTCCCCGCGAGCAGCGCCGCCCCGTCTCCAAGCGCTGGGCAGGGCGGGGCGGGGCGGGCGGGGCGGTCTGTTTGAAGCGCGCCGCTCCGCGGGAATATGTCGCGTAAGCAGACGCAGAGAAATGATGCGTTGTGCGGTTTGTGTGTTTGGTTGGACCCGCCCGCCCCACGTGCCGCCCGGGCGCCGCGTCGCGCGCTACGCTGCCTACTCCACGCCTCCCCCCCCCCTCCCCTCTCTGCGAAACTTACGGCTTCGCTGCTTCATTCTAAAATTTGCAATGCTGAGTAATAACTCTGATTATCCTCTTTCAAGAAATATGACGCGGTGACATCACCGACCGGCAGGAGTGGGGACGAGTCTATCTGGTGTTTTTATTTTCCCTGGACTCGAGTGGCCCCGCAAAAGGGCTTATAGGGGGGACAGTCAGTCATCCTACTCGCCCGATCAAAGTCATGTGCGGCGATAAAGAGACGAGTAGTGTATTATGTACTTCGCGGCTGCCGGCCCGGCGGGCACCGCTGTGCACCGCGCGGCCTGTCGCCCCCGGCCTTATCTGGCGCCTCTGCATTCGATTTACATTCATCTCGGCCACTGTCGAAGCAAATTGAGCATCTGCAATCGCTCATTTAGAGTCTGTTTGAAACTCCACAAGAGTCATGTCTGTGTCTGATGATGTCAACTACAAGTTTTACTCGTGTCGTATACTTGTGAACATTAACATTTGAGTCATGTCTGGTGTCGTTGTACCACATTGAGTGTGGGTCAGGGACGGGTCAGGCGCGTGGCTCCTAGTCGGCTCAGCTGCTCCTCCCAAAATGCGTTCTTGATTCATTTTTCGAGTACTAGATTTTCTTGAGTGCATTGCGCTTGTGTTGGGTGTAATGTTAAAGCGCAATGTACTTAATAAAATCAATTTCACAAAAAATGCACTGAAAAAAGAACACATTTTTTGTGTGTGATGGTTTGCTGCTGGGTCGGGAGGGTTGATCAAACTGTCCGCGCCACCGCCCGCCGACCAACCCCGTTCTGCTAAAACTCATTTATTGTCACCAACTTTGTCTGCTAACTTGTCGATTAAGCATTCCCTGTCGGGGTTATCGTTATCGCCGACCGGTCGGGGACCCCTGAACAACTTGATGTTGCTGCTGGTCTAGTTTAGGGCAAGACGAACACTGTTAAACAAATGTGCAAATATTGCACACTTGTGTGTATTTTCTTACTCGTTTTGCGAAGTGTCTCATGTTTACGCCCAAATTATGACTAGTGGAGTTCCACACTGTAAAGTGTAAACACTTTCCACACTTGAAACTGCATACCACCATTCGGTATGC